CAGAGGGGTAGCAGCGGGGGCTCACCCCACTTCATCCACATTTATGCCATTTATTGAGTGCTTACTGTATGTAAGCAATGAACTAAGTCCTTTATGTGGATTTTTTTCCAACTGATCTTCGCCATAGCCCTGGAGCTTGGCGTAATATTGCCCCCTTTTACAGACGAGGAAATAGAAGCACAGTGAAGTTAAGTATTTGTCCAATCAGACAGTTATAAATGGCAGAGTTAGGATTTGATAAAGCTGGAAAGACAGGAGAATCAATTATTATTTTATTTAAATAAGGAAAACCAGCTACCATTTAGCTACCTGCTAAATGCTTGATATTCCTTGTCGCCATTCCTCAGAGCACTCCACAAGCCACATTTCACAGATGAGGCAATGGTGAGCCAGACAGTTGTAGTAAATCGCCCTGTGTCCCCTAGAAGGGGCAGACCTGGGGTTGGAGCCAGCCAGGCTGATTTCAAAGGCTCTTAATCTTGGTGTTGGCACACGCTGAATGGGAGCCCTACCTCAGAGCTGACCCGAGGGAGCCAGTGACCCTGCTTCTCAGCTCCCCTGGAGTTCTGGATATCCTACCCTTCAGTGCCTGGGCTAATCCCTCAGGTGTCCCACATCTCTCCTGGCTGCTGGCCTTCAGGGCCTGCTGCTCTGGTCATTCCCATGGTGACCAGGCTTTATCCTGCTCATCAAGCCCCCAGGGGCCTCCCCTCCCTCTCCCCACTCCTCTGCTACCAGGAAGCTGGCTCAGCTTGGCCTCTGTCTCCTGTCAGCTCCTGAGATGGTGAAGGGAGAACCTATCGGCTCTGCCACGGACATCTGGGGAGCCGGCGTGCTTGCCTACATCATGTGAGTGCCCTGGCCCCACCCCACCCCCTCTGCCCACACTGTGAGCTCCAGGACCACCTTCTGCCTGCACTGTCTCCCTCATGCCCTGCCTCCCCAGCACACACACGCACACCCACACACACACCCCCAGGTATAGGTTGGCACTGTGTGCCTCAGAACCCCTACACTCATGTCCCCTGGGCCTGGGAGCAGACCTTCAGTCCACGTGCGTCAACCATACTGTCTTCCACAACAGGCTCAGTGGACGCTCCCCATTCTATGAGCCAGACCCCCAGGAAACAGAGGCTCGGATTGTAGGGGGCCGCTTTGATGCCTTCCAGCTATACCCCAATACTTCTCAGAGCGCCACCCTCTTCTTGCGAAAGGTCCTCTCAGTACATCCCTGGTGAGTGCGTGCCACCCTGCCAACCCCAATCTTTACCTGCCCTGACCTAGTGTGTGCTGAAGGTCCCCCAGCTCCTCTCCTGCCCCTGATGATATATTCCTTCAGCTACTTCTACTAAATGGCCATACTACCCACTATTTAAAACCCATAACAGCCCTATGAGAGGCAGAGTCACTGCCTCCATTCCAGAGACTGGGAAGCTGAGCCCCAGAGTTGCCCAAAATCACATACCTAGGCATGAATCCAGGATTGGGACATGGGTCTGTGGGAGGACAGAGGCCTGCCCACTCCAGGAGCCACCCCTCCAGGCTCCTGAGCCCTGGCTTGGCCTGGCAGGAGCCGGCCCTCCCTGCAGGACTGCCTGGCCCACCCCTGGCTGCAGGATGCCTACCTGATGAAGCTGCGCCGCCAGACGCTCACCTTCACCACCAACCGGCTCAAGGAGTTCCTGGGTGAACAGCGGCGGCGTCGGGCAGAGGCCGCCACCCGCCACAAGGTGCTGCTGCGCTCCTACCCTGGCGGCCCCTAGCGGCATGGACCACAGCCCAGCCTCGGGCTTTGACTGGGGGTTCCCAATGATGCCGCGGGACATTCCAGGGCCCACGCTGAGCCGGGTGGGCCTGGGGCTTCGGATACCACCAGCAGCAACATCTGGCCGGGCTCTTACCTCATGGACCTGCCAGGACAGAGGCCCTGGGGCTTTGGCCTGATGCCACCCCAGGCCAGAGGCAGAGCGGGAGACTCATTGGCCAGGCTGGGCAAGGGTGGGAACAGGCAGAAGCGCAAGAAGGGAACAGGGAAGTGCAGAGGAAAAGAAGCCAAGGGATAGGGAAAGGAGACTCTAGGAAGGTTCCAGGGTGGGGGGGTGCATCTCAGGGAGAGCATGACGGGGGGGTGAGCATGGCTGGTGAGAAGGAAGAGGAAGGAGCCCAGGGTGTTAGGGCAGTGGACTGGGAGTGTCAGCGAAGCAGTGACAGGACACAGAGACAGTGCCAGGGAGACAGAGCCAGGACGTGAGCGAGGGCAGCAAGGTGCGGGAGGGAGAGAAGGCAGCCTCAGGTGGAGGGGGCGGGCCAGCCGCTGCCATCCTGGAGAAGCGTGGAGAGCTGGATCTCCTGGCCAGTGGATGCAGCTCTGGGCACTCTATGCTGGCCCGAGGATGTCCCCATCACCCCTCCATGGCCTTTGTCCTTCTTCCCATGCATATTTATTTATTTATTGACTTTTATGAAGTTTTCCCTTCCACTCAATCCCTATTGCCCATGTTGTCCTGACCGTCCCCCCAGCCATCCAGCTGTCTGTGCAGCTGTCTGTCTGTCTGTCACAAGGAAAATAAAAATGGCAAGCAGCAGGACCTGTGTGTGGTCTGTGGGGAGGGACAATGATGGGGGCAGTGAGTCCTAGGACAGGAGCATTCAACCTTCTTTGGGCCAGAGAGAGCTGAGGATTCCTCAACACATTCAGGGGTAACAGCTAGCACCTTGGGACCTTCCAACCCCTTCCCCTGATCCTCCTGGCCCCTCACCTCTCCTTATTCCTAAAAGGAAGGGAGTCTGTGGTCTGTTTCTCCTGCAGTTTCTGGAGTGCTGGCAGACCCATTGGATTCCCCCTACCAGATCAGACTCTGGTAGCCCCCACCTTTTGTCACACGTTCCCTCATCACAACTTGGGGGATGCTGGGCTCTGGGGAATGGGCCAGCCCACAGCCCAGTCCTGGCTCAGCCTCCTCACTCTGCCAAGAAGACAGGCCAGGTGTGGTCCTGACCCCTGGAGCAGAGTGGGTTTCATCCCAGTGGTGGCAAGAGTAGGTGGTATGAGGAGCTGCAGAAGAAACCAGGACAGGCCCACGCCCCACACTCTCCAGGTCAGAGCACATGGAGCACCAGCTGGGAATGCTCTGGTCTGTTGTGTCAGGAATTTTCCTGGGGCTGAGGGACATAGCCTGGACTTTCTTGTCCCCACAGCGAGTTAGGGGGTCTGCTGGGTGCTAACACACCCTGACCCTAGCTGCTCCCCTGCAGTGCCACAGAATGGTCACTGGTCCTAGAACTGAGCTGCCTTGCCCTGGCGTTGGGGGGAGAAAGGGGAGCTAGGCCTCCCTACCTTGAAAACTCTGTTCTTGGCAAAGCGAAAAGAACAAAGCCTCCAGCTGTGAGCAGAGAGTTGGCACTGGTGTATTGCTGATTGAGGCTGAGGCCCCCTTGGCTCCAGCTCAAACAGCCCTTTTGCCCAGCCCAGCCCAGCCTCTCTGGCTTCCCAGGACCCCAGGGAAGAGGCAAACCCCATCATCATAAAATAACAGGATGTTAAAGCCAGCTGGAAGGGACCAGAAAGATGCCTTGCCTACCTGTCATTTTAGCGATGAAGATATACAGTTTGCCTGTGAGAATCTCCAATCCCCTACACACTGCAAGTGTTTTGTATAAAAATGAGGTGCCTGAACTCATATTTTGATAAGTGGTAAAATTCCTCTCCCGTCCCCTTTCTGATCTTAAGCTCCCTTCCCATCTCCATTGGAAATGGCATGTGAACTGCTTGTTCCAAACCCGGAGGAGCAAAGGTAATTTATGTCAGCAGAGCTGTGTCAAAATTGCTCTGATCAAAAGGTAACCGTGCCCCACACCTGGGCGGGTGGTTACAATGAATGGAAGCAATGCTCCTCCCGGGAGCTCTGGCCTGGGCAGACTGGATTTCAGGCAAGCCCCAGAGGGGTTAAGTGAACCCCTTCGCCCCAGGCAGTTTGATGCCCCTATTTGCCAGTTTATGGCCCCAAAAGGGCCTGGGCAGATGTCGGGTGGGGAGCCAGTAGTGGTGCTAATCTCTAGGGACAGTGCAGTCCAGCCAGACCCTACCATGTCACATCAAAGGGAGTGAGCGGGGATGGTGATGGCCTGGAGGGGCTGCTATTCTCGAAATGTCCCCTCAGTATATCTCAGTTTACCGCCAGGGGGCACAGCGTGGAAATGACAACCCTAGACTCCTGGGGCAGGGCGGGGCAGAGGCGGGGATGGGGGAAGAGTCAGGTGCTTCCGGATTGGTCTTGACAGCTACGTGGCCCTGTTGTGATTAGCTGTATGGACCACAAAGTCTGCGTGATTAGCTGTACGGACCGCAAAGTCTGCAGCTACTCTGGCTTTATTCAGGGACACCCCCACAAACACTTGAACCCCCTTAACAGTGTCCTGATACTGACCTGAAGTATAAAGCTGCCCCAGCAGTGAGCTGAATCTGTTGTCAGCTAGGGGCCATGTCTGGTCCTCCCAGGATTGGGATGGCTACCCCTTGTCCTGGGAGGGGATGGGGCCGCGTCCAGCTGCCCAGCTGTCCAGGTGCTGACACACAGCGCACCCCAGAGCCGCTCGGGTTTCCCCCACCCCCCACCCTGGTCTGCCCCAGTGGCTGAGCCAGCATCCCAAACATCCTCGGGTTAAATAAGGAGACCACTTGGGTCAGAGGGGCGGGAATGGGGTCCCGGGGGGCTTGGGCAACCACGCCAAACAAGGCAAGGAGGGGAGTGATGTATAAAACCACGCCCGGGGGCTGAGCACCTGCCTGTGCCCCTACTGTGCCATCTGGAAGGACTCTGTGCCTCCTGTAACCCAGCGAGTCGGCTCAAGTCCGCATCAACGCCTCCAGGGTGAGTATGATTCTCAGAGAAGCCCCAGACACTCCCACCTCCGGGAATGTTCTGTTCAAGTGGGAAAAGGGCCGATGGTGAGAGCCTCTGTCACAGACTGGACCCCCATGTTTGCTGACTGCTCCCCAGATGTCCAAAGCAGCTCCTGCCAAAAAACCAGCAGTTGCGGCCCCGCCTCCTGCATGTACCCTGGATATCAATGACCCCAGGCGCAGAGCGCGGCCATTCGCATTCAGGCCTCTTACCGGGGCCACAGGTGAGGAGGAGCCTTGGAACTCTGAGAGGAAGGGAGCTGCAGAACGCACACTCCTGAATGGGGGTGCGGAGGGCACAGTGCCATGAACCAGTAGAGTCACTGGACGCAGGGGAGAGTGGTTACTGAGGTGTGGAAGGGTGGCCGGCAAGAGTGGATCACTTTACCAGAGTAGCAGTTCAGGAGCAGTCCCCTTCCCTACCAACCCCTACGTTCAGGGCTCTGGTGGGCTGAGGGGATGGGCAGGAAACAGTGTGCACAAGGCCAGCGCTTTGGCGGCCCTGTCGTGGGAACGCTGGGCCCTGACCCCGCCCGCTGGTAGGTCCCGGAAGGAGCTGCGCGAGAAGGGGCCACCGCGGGTACTGGAGCCGCTTAAGGACGTGGTGCCGATCGAGGGCAGCGCTGCCAAGCTGACTTGCCGCATTTCGGCTTTCCCGGACCCGTTCATCCGCTGGAGTAAGGATGGCGAGGAGCTGCGCGACGGGCCCAAGTACCGCTGCGTCTTCGAGGACCCCGACGTAAGTGGCCCTGGTGGTGCGCAATGGCGAGCTGGCAGACCTGGGCCAGTACAGCATCAACGTAACCAACTCCTTTGGCCAGTGCTCCGACTCGGCGCGCATTCTCGTAGAAGGTACGCGCGCCCCAGGCGCAGCTCCAAGGCGCAGAACGCCCCACCCTGCGGGCACCCGCAGCCCTGGCTAGCAGAGCGCATTTGCCGCTGGGCCTAGCCACTGGGTCCTGGCCGACCCAGCCCGGGCACAGCCTGGGGCGCATCGCCGCGCCAGCGGAGTACGTACGGGCTTCCCTACTTCGGGATCTGGCCCCACCCAGCTGAGCAGTCCGTTGTGGGCTTAGATCACGCTACGCCAGGGCCCTGAGGTCTCACAGAGAGCCAGAAGCAGAGCCAGGGTTAGGGACTGGTTTTCTGGCTCCCAAACCTGGGCAATTTCCACTGCCCAGAGCTGTCTCTGAGGCTCCGCGAGATGTGTGAACGTTTTAGGACTTTTACTCGATTTATCTCTTTTGATCCTCTATTCGAGCGGGCGACAAAGGAGGGGCAGGGATAAGTCACGTTTAACGCTAAGGAGATGAAACCAGAGAGGCTAATGATCTGCCTAACATCATACTGCGAGTTAAATGCATCTCGTATTTAGGGCCTGGGGAGGTGATGCGCTTGCCCTGCCTCATCTCCAGGTCCCTCACTGGGTCGCGTTCCCCTTCCCTTCTTCTAGTCCTAGCCAAGGTTCAAAAAGGGACCCGACAATACCAAGGCGCGCAAAGGCACCACGATTAAGCTGACCGCGGAGATCCTGGGCGAGCCTGCGCCCGACGTGGGCTGGACCAAGGACGGGGAGGACATGGAGGAGGACGACAGGCGAGGTCTGGGACCTGTGGCAAGGGCAGGGCCTGAGGCTGGAACCTGGGCGGGACTAGCCCACAAACAGGGCGGGAGTGGCTCGAGGGCGGAGAACCGGGAAGGGCAGAGCTGGCTAAGTGGTCTGGCCCGGTGCGCGCGTAAACTGACCGGCGGCTCTGCCTTCCCTGCTGCCCTCTCCCCAGGGTGTTCTTCGATATCGGCAGCACCACCACGACGCTGACCATTCGCCGGGCCACGCCCGAGGACAGTGGCAAGTACGAGGTGTACGTAGAGAACAGCCTGGGCATGGACCAGAGCTTCGCTCGCGTGGACGTGGCCTGAAAAGGACCGTCCTACCTTTCGCCCTGGCTCCAAGTCCGGGGGCGGGTGGGACCGACAACCCTCGTTCATCTGGCTTAATAAAGTGGCTCTCTCTGACCCTCTGCGTCCATTCTGTTCTGTAGCTTCGCCATTCCCTGTCCCCCGCACCCGCGCGCACACTTATTCCAGACCCGCACATCAAGGTCACAGGATGTCTGAGTCAGAGGGAAGTTTGGAGAGTGCCCAGCCCAGTGCTTCATTTTACAGAAAGCTAATCTGAGATAGGGTTTCTCTCGCCGTCGGACGCTCCGTTATTTCTCAGCCGGACGTGCCGTGGAGCCTAGCACTCCGCTTTGCCTTCTTTCGTGTGCCTGAAGCCACCTCCCGCGGCAGTTTGCGCCCCGGCCCCGCCCCTTCCAAGCCCCCTGCGTTCCAGTCGTCTCCAGTCCCGCTTCTCCCTGTGACCGAGTTAGTTATCCACTTCGGCTGCTGCCCCTGGGCCCATTCCCCGATAGCTGGGCTCCCAGTCTCAGGCTCCAGCCTCTGCTTCTCAGGCCCCACCCTTCTTCTCATTAATCCCGCCCCCTCGATCCCTTGGCTACGCCCCTGGGGTTCACTGCCGCTCTCCCTCTCTTAAAATTAGAAGCTGGGGCGTTGGGGGAGGAATCTTCGGAACTACAATTCCCAGCAGACCCTGCGAAGGAGTTCTCGCGAGTTGCGAGAAGACACGTGCGCGGAAGGAGCGAGGAGTAGCGGGCGGCAGAGCTGGCAAAGAGAGTTAGTGGTAAAGGGAGCTGGTGGAGGGGCGGCAGGAGGGGCAGGGCCTGGTCCCCTACGCGGAGAGCGTGCTTGGAGGACCAGGCTGCCTCTCCGCGCGTCCACGCCTGTGTTGGTCCGCAGCCCCTGGCAGCTAGAGGCTAGGGTTTATTGGACAGTCAGTGTGGGGTTCCTAGGGTTGGCAATCAATCCTCCGAATCCAGAGATTCGGCACCAGTCATCAGTATTAGCACTCAGGGGGTTGGTGGGTTCAGTGTTTAGGATGCCAAGGGAACCTGTCTTTTGATTCGCGGTTCAACATATAGAGGTTAGTTTTAGGGTTCCTGTTCAGCTTATAAAGAGTTTTTGCTTGGACTGGGGTTTCATCAAATGCAGATCAGTGTCAGTTCAATACTTGGGGTTTATGCTTTGGAAGTTAACTATCTGGGGCTCGCTCACGGTTTGCAGTTCAATATTCAGGGCTTGCAACTGGGATTCAGGGCTTAAGATCCAGAACAAGGCTGCAACAATTTGGGGATCCGTGGGCTTGAGGTTTCTGTTTTTTGAGGTTCTGGGTCTGAGAAGGGGGTCTTTGCCAAGTTTCTGAATTTGCGGAATTTGTTCATGGCCACAGGGAAGTCTGTTAGAGATCCAGTTGTGGGATGTGAATTTCAGAATTTGGGAGGAATCACTGTGAGGTGTGAAGACCTACTGGAATCTGGGTTGGGATTTGAGATGTGTAGGATTTGTGGATGTTGTGTCCAGGGAGGGACTGCATTAAACTTTGGGTTTACATCTTGGGAATGGGCTAAGTGTTGCTATTTGGGGTTTGGTTGGGGTGCGAGATCCGAGCTTGATTTCTCTGTTGGAATTTGAGGTTTAGGTAGTAGTCACCATCATGCTCAAAGCCGTGATCCTGATTGGAGGCCCTCAGAAGGGTGAGGTGCCAGGGGAGTGGGGGAGGAGGTTGGGCTGGAGTGGTTGGTAGGGCGGAGGCAGAGGAAGGCAGGAGGATGAAATGTTCTCCTTTCTCCACTCGCAGGGACTCGCTTCAGGCCTTTGTCTTTTGAGGTGCCCAAACCATTGTTTCCTGTGGCTGGGGTCCCTATGATCCAGCACCATATCGAGGCCTGTGCCCAGGTAACCCCATAGGCTGCCCTCTCTAACCTCACTTCCTGCTCATGTCCTTCATTCCCTATTTCCCCCTTTCCCAGCCATGATCTCCAGGACTATCATTCACAGACGAGTGTGAATGGCGCCCCCTCAGGTTGTGTAGTGCCACTGCCCTGTTGTCCTCCCCTAATCTAGTCTCTTATCTGGCCTCTTCCTGCTCGGATTTCACTCCTATTTTTAAAGTATGGAATGTGAGATCAGGCAGGGATCTTAGAAACAATTTAAAGCCATGGCTTGGGGACCTTTAATGAAAACCAAGCACAAGATTCATACCCTGATCACCATGGAGCTCATTTCTTTATTGCTTTTGGTATTGGAACAGGCAAGGTTTCGGTTTGAATTCAGTTCCTGCCTGCTGTGAGGCCTAAAGCAAATTTCGTACCCTCTCTGAGCCTGTTTCCTTATCTGTAAAGTGGGGGTGATGAGACCTATTTTGTGGGGTGGTGAAGCTTAGAAATAATGTTTGTAAAGTGCCTAATACAATGCAAGCCCTTGGTAAGTGGTACCCTTACCTCATATGCTGATCTCAAGCTTAGGCTGACAGATAATAAAAATGGGGGGAATGAATGGATTATCCTTTAACACAGCTTGGTAGGCAAAATCTTTCCTAGAGTGCTTCCCAGTCCAGGTGGGTGAGGGTAATAATAAAAGATTGGAAGATCAGGCCTGAGACTTCCCTAACTTCCTCATTGTCCAGAGGAGAAAACAGGCCAGAGTGGTAAAGTGAGTGCCCAGGGGCTGTGGTCTCTGGACTTTGTGCCACCACCAGGGATTTTCCCATAATTCCTTCTTATCAGATATTTTTTTCTCCCAACCTCTTCTCTTGTTCTCAGGTCCCTGGGATGCAGGAGATTCTGCTTATTGGCTTCTACCAACCAGATGAGCCCCTTACCCAGTTCCTAGAAACTGCCCAGCAGGAGTTCAACCTTCCAGTCAGGTGTCTGTGCACACATACATATATGGGGGTGGGGGTGCCCTAGGCCTCTGAGTTCTCAGGAGTGGGTTGAATCAGCATTTTCCAGAATTCACCCTCACATACTAGAAGGATCGTTACTTGGGCATCTCTGAATCCTTGAATATATGGAGTTTCGCTGTGGGTCTCGGGCAGGAGTGTTCCTGGGAGCAGGGTGGGGTCAGGTGCCCTGGCTTATGTATCTGTCTCCTTGGATCCACTGAACTGGCTCTGGGGTCCCTGGGAACAGGTACCTTCAGGAATTTGCCCCCCTGGGCACAGGGGGTGGTCTCTACCATTTTCGAGACCAGATCCTGGCTGGAGGCCCCGAGGCTTTCTTCGTGCTCAATGCTGACGTCTGCTCTGACTTCCCCTTGAATGCTATGTTGGATGCCCACAGACGCCAGCGTCACCCTTTCTTACTCCTTGGCACCACGGTGAGGGGACCGGGAGGGCGTGATCCGGAGAGCTTCCTGGAATGCTAGGTATCAGGGAGGCAGCAGCAGCCCTGGGGGTTGGAGTGGGAGCTGGCATCAGGAGATGTACTGCTGCAGCAGGAATGGAGGTGTCAGTGGAGACCCCGAGCCCTTTGGCTGTTCAGAAGTAGGGAGGGGGAGGGCAGCTGTCAGTTCTCACCCTTGCTGAAGGCCTGTCAGTGGTGGAGCTGCGTGCCAGGTGCCATAGGGGAGATAAAAAAAAAAAAGAGAAAACAGACCTGGTGGCCCCGCAGCAGGCAGGTCACTGTCTCGGGTGTGTCTGTCTTTCAGGCTAACAGGACGCAGTCCCTCAACTACGGCTGCATCGTTGAGAATCCACAGACGCACGAGGTGAGAGCGGAGAGGAGCTGGGTGGGTGCCCACTCTGTGTGTCACCCCCTACTCCATGCCTCTAGAGATGCTGGAATGCTATGGGGCGGAGCTCCTAGTCTTGTCCCTGATGAATCATCTCATATCCCTTTGAGAGAAGGCTAGGGGAAAAGGGGTCACAGTTCATTTCCCTGGGTGTGGTGCACAAGGTGCTTGCCTGCATGGGGTGGGGAGGGCTTCCTGGAGGAAGCAGGTCTGAGTTGGGTCAGATTTGTTTAGAAGAAGGAGAAAGGAAGGCATTGCAGGCAGAGGGAACAGCATGTGCAAAGGCACGGAGGCAGGAAATGGCATAATTGCCTCCCCAGTTATGAAGGGGGAGGCTTAATAGGCAAGGCAGGAGGTCTCGACCCTGTTTGTGAAACTCCCTGCCCTGAGCCTAATTGACTGTCACACACACCTTTTATTTGTTCATCCTTTAATTTCAAACATACATGTAAACACACACATACATAGTTTGTGCCAGACACAAGGTAGGTGCGAGAGAAACACAGCCAAAAAGGCACAGTCCCCACCTCTCAGGACAGTGGCAGACACAAGTCAAAGCCAACCTTTGCAAATGATACAGTGTCGAGGGTCAGGTGTGGCCACAGGCCACAGGTGCCCAAAGGCATGAATCACTAACTCTGAGGCTGGCAAGAGAGGACTCACAGAGAGAGTGACAGTGTCACCCGGGTTTGGAAAGGTGTGATTTCCAGATCAAGAGATGGGAAAGGGCATTCCAGGCGCAGGCGTGCAATGGCATGCGGTTGTGTTCTGGGAGTGCTGGGGGTAGGGAGGGTCAGCAGGGAAAAGTGTGGAGTTTGGACTTAGCTGAAGGTGGATCAGGCGATGGCAGTTGTTGCGGGGTTTAAAGCCAGGCAGTGGCAGAACGTGGCTGCATTTTAGGAAGACCACCCTGGCAGCAGGGGGGAGGGGCAGGGAGGGCCTGGAGATCAGAGGGTCTTAGGGGACTGTGGCGGTGGTCCTCTCCTCTACTGAACCCAGCTCGCTCTGTCCTCAGGTCCTGCACTATGTGGAGAAACCCAGCACGTTTATCAGTGACATCATCAACTGTGGCATCTATCTCTTCTCCCCGGAAGCCCTGAAGCCTCTTCGGGATGTCTTCCAGCGCAATCAGCAGGATAGGCAACTGTGAGGCAGGCCCCATGGCCCTGTGACCCCAAGTACTCCCAGTCCCGGACCCTGACCCACACCAATCTCTGCAGGCTCCATGGCAACCTGCTTACCTTCCTCCCTCCTCCCTTCTCCACCTGTCATCTCCAGCTGAGCCTCCGAGCCCCTCCCCTTCTAACCTCATTCTGTCCCTCTTCCTTATCCATCTCAGTTCCTCCTCTGTCACTGCCTGCCCACTCCCCTTCTGGTCCATTTCTCTCAAGCCCTGAGTGTCCCAGAGACGTCTTTCAGAACAGACAGCAACACACAGTTGGGCGCACACGCGCTCACTCTCAGGCTGAGGCTCCGCTGGGAATGTAGCACTCAGAGCCCTGCTCACCACGGTGTCGGGATGGCCCTCCTAGGCCCGAAAGCTGTTCCCTTCTAGGGACCTTTGCCTTTGCTCCTTCCCGCCCATTGCCCCATCTCATGCCTTTTTCACTCACGTTCATTTCTCACTCCCACCTGTGTCTCTGCTTCTCTCTCCACCTCTCCTGGCCTCTCTGTCTCTGTTTCTGCTGAGCTGGCATCTCTACCATCTCTGTCTCCCTCTCTGTCTGTGACTCTCTCTGCCCTCACCAGCTGCCTTGCTCTGGGGTGAGTCTGTCTGTGTTTCATTCCATCCAGTGAAGGGGAGGGTGACTTGGGGGGTGGGGGGTAGAGGGCTGAATGCGGGGAGAATGTGCAAATAGGGGGAACTCCTTCTGGACATGGGGACACTGGGCAGGGATGGGAGGTGGGTCTGTGCCTGGGGTTCCCTTGTGATAGCACCCACTGAGCTGGGGCTGGGTGGGAGAGGTTCCTGGGATGAGAGCAGCCCTTTGGAGAGGACCTGACTAGACCTGGAGAGGGGCTTGGAGAGGTGGTGGGAATCCCTGAGACTCCTGTCCCTGAGGGACCGTGTGAGCCCCACAAGCAGGCTCAGCTGGGGAACTGATGTCAGCCTCCTTCCTCTCTGCCAGGGAGGACTCTCCAGGCTTGTGGCCGGGGGCAGGTACCATCCGCCTGGAACAGGATGTGTTCTCGGCCCTGGCAGGGCAAGGCCAGATATATGTGTACCTCACTGACGGGATCTGGAGCCAGATCAAGTCCGCAGGGTATGAGAGGCTGGGGTGGGGTGGAGGGTTCTGGGGCTCTGGTGGGGAGGCTGGGTCACCTGGGGGTTGAGACTTTGGGGTGGTAGGCCTAGGCCCTCGTGGCCCCTGAGCCCCTGCCCCCATGTTGTGGCCCCCAGTTCAGCCCTCTATGCCTCCCGCCTTTATCTGGGCCGCTACGAGTTCACTCACCCAGAACGGCTGGCCAAGCACACGCCAGGAGGTCCACAAATCCGAGGTACCCACCCCACCCCAATTCTTAACCTTTGCCCTCCACCGCAGCCCCCTCTGCCCTCTGAGCCAGGACTCCTGACCTCAGTCCAGAGTTGAAGTCTCAATCGCTGCCCCTTCCCATCCAGATATGGTTTGGGGTATTTGCCCCCAGGGCCTCTCTTCTGCTTCTAGGAAACGTTTACATCCACCCAACGGCTAAGGTGGCCCCATCGGCTGTGGTAAGCACTGGGCCCAGACCCAGGGAGAAGACGGGTGGCGGTCAGGATGGGTGGGTAGCACAGGTCTCTCCACTTGGTCACAACCTGTTGTGTGGCCTCGAGCAGGTCACTTCTCCCTCCTGTTCTAGGAGGGGATTGGACCTGGGGATCCTCCAAGTCCCTCCAGGGCTTATGGCGTGTGTTCCTCCCCACAGCTGGGCCCCAACGTCTCCATTGGGAAGGGAGTGACGGTGGGCGAGGGCGTGCGTCTCCGAGAGAGCATTGTCCTCCACGGAGCCACATTACAGGTAGGAACTAGTGTATACACGGCAGCGTGCGGCACCCCAAGGGGCTGAGGGGAGGGCCCAGGTACTCGCTCCCCAGAGCAGAGAAGAAGGGTGAACCCCATGGGCTCTGCATCTGGCCACATCTGACGTATCCACCCATCCCCCACCCGTTCCTGCTGCCTCCCCCCTCACCTCTCACCATCCTGTTGGACAGGAGCACACGTGTGTTCTGCACAGCATCGTGGGCTGGGGGAGCACCGTGGGGCGCTGGGCCCGCGTGGAGGGTACCCCCAACGACCCCAACCCCAACGACCCCCGGGCCCGCATGGACAGTGAGAGCCTCTTCAAGGACGGGAAGCTGCTGCCTGCCATCACCATCCTGGGTATGGCTTGGGGGGCGGGCGGCTGGGACTGTGAGAACCTCCCCAGGTGATGGCCAGCGGTCTGTGGGGAGCGTTTGTTCTCCGTGTGTGCGTGAGTTTCTTCTTTTAGCAAACAGTTAGCAAATGCCTGCTGTGTGCCAGGCGCTGGGTGAGTCACTGGGGGCATGAGGCCAGGGGCGCAGATGGGCAGGGAGGGATCCCTCCCTGCTGGCAGTGGCCCCCAGCTCCCCCTCGTGCCCTGTGACCTCCCTTGGTGCCCGGTCCACACTGCAGGCTGCCGCGTCCGGATCCCTGCTGAGGTGCTCATCCTGAACTCGATTGTTCTGCCACACAAGGAGCTGAGCCGCAGCTTCACCAACCAGATCATCCTCTGAGGGGGGCTGCCAGAAGGCCCCCCCAACTCCTACCCGCTCCCCTCGAGGCTGCTGCTTGCTTGGCCGGCCTCTGTCCAGAAAGGACCAGAGGAAGCCAGGCAGGACCTTCACACGCCGGGAGCAGCGTGGGTGGCCCAGGACTCCTGGCCTTCCTCCCCACTCCCTAATAAACCCCGTGAACCTTGGAGCCAGCATGGACTCCGCCTGTGCCTGGGCTGGGGGTGGGGGCGGAAGCAGGGCAGCTGAGTCAGGCCCCCCCACATTAGCATTTAAATTGGACTCATAGCTGTGGGCTCATGAATAATGAATCTGGAGCCCTGGTAAATCTCCCCCTCCCACTGCCTCAGCCTCAGCCTCCTGCACAGCTCAGGAGGAAGGCCCTCTAGGCTCCCGGCCTGCCTGCCGTCCCCTTCGCCCTGCTTGCCTGCCCCCCTGTCCCTCACCGGGCCTGGCTTAGGCTCCCAGCTGTAAGGGTCCCGCCGGGCAGGGCAAAGGATTTCGGTTGGGCGGTGGGCCCAGGGCACCGGGGCCACAGGCCCGGAGGCTGATCCCAGCAGCCCATTCTGCTCGGTTCCTGCCGAGCCCCATTCGTGGCCTTTTTTCCGCTTTGCCAGCGCCATCTGCTCCCTGCCTGGCTTTTGGCGAGGTGGGGGTTTCCGCCCCCGCCTGAGGCCTCCAGTCTCAGTCTCCTACTCCCCTGGCTGCCAGGGCGGGCCTGAGCCTGTGCCATTCTCTCCGGAAGCTCAGTGGGAGGCCCCCTGTTCTGGGAGGGGCCGGGCCACCTCCCATCACCCTGGCTCTGCCCTTTGGGAGGTCTCTGCCCTCCTCTCCCAACCATCTCCTATTTGCCCATGACCCCCGTGTGCCCCTCTCGGTGCCCCCCTTTCCCCAGCTGTGGGTGTGGAGCTGAGTTGCCAGATGAGCTGGTAATGATCGTAATCTGCTAATTGAGAGGAATCTAATTACCCGAAGAGAATGGGGGGGGGCAGGGCGTGGGTGGAGGGAGGAGGGTGTCCTGGCAGCAGGCAGGGGTGGCAGGCGGCAGGGTGCCGGGGCCTCGTTGTCAGCACCAGGGTTTGGGACAGAGCCCAGGATTTTGTGGCTTCATAGCTGGGCAGTTAGGAAGATGTGCTTCCTCTGGAGTTGGGCTGAGGGTGGGGATTGGGCCGGATGTGACCTCCAGGCCCTCTCAGGCCCTGAGGGCTGTGTGGGAGCATGTGGGGCATGCCTTGGGGTTCCGACAGCCCTGACCTGTAACCTGCCTCTGTTTAATCCTTGCCTCCATCCCAGACCTTCTGTCATCCCTCTGTGTGGAGCTGGGAAGGGACTGTAGGTCCCCACTCTGGGCCTGGGGTCAAGGAAGGGGCTGGGAGAGGGATGGGCCCTAGGGCCAGGGTCTGGGTCCCTTCCCTCTCCTCCCCCCAGTCCTGACCCTTCTGTTCCGAGTGGTTGGCAGAGGCCGTGGCAGCTCCATCATAAATATGATAATTTAATTATTTTCTCAGCAAAACACCGTGAAATCCAATAAGTCTGTGTCAGGCCCTGGCCCCCGGGATGCCCCTCCTAGACCCAGTGGGGGTGGGGACATGGTGGGGAGAGGCGTGGAAGGGAACAGGGTCAGTGTTTGAAGGGGAGGCAGGCAGTGAAACCGAATCTTATATGCCCCCCTAGGCTGAGGGAGCCACTGTTGGGGGGTCTAAGGACAGGTTGTAATGCCCTCCCTCCTCTCGACCCCTCTTATGTGCAGGGAGGGGCCTAAGGTGTGGGAGCACCCTGCTTCTGGAGGGGGAGCAGGGAGCCCTCCTCCACCACGTCTGGGACCCTGCGCCCAGCCTTCATTGGCCCTGTTGGGGTAGGAGGGTGCCAGCCCCAGGGAGGGATTGAGGAGGGAGAAACAGGAGGGAATGGGTGGGAAGTGGGGGGTGAACGGGGGGAGGGATGCGGGGGAGGGGTGTGCTCCTGCCATTAGCGCTTTTTTCGGTTTCCATAAAAAGATTATTCTGTAAAATCAGCGAGGGGGAGCAAGCTGGGGGCCGGGGAGGGGGGTGGGTCCCTGGCACCAAGCTGGATGGGGCGACAGGGGAGGAGAGCTGGGGACAGGGACTGAGTGGAGAGAAATTTGGATGGGCTTCAGGAGCCGGCCGAGGGGAGAGGCTGAGCCAAGAACACAGACTGGGGAGGCTGGCTGGGCCAGGCTGGGCAGGGCACTCATCTCCCTCCTGTCCCTTTGGCTGGGCTGCCGGGGGCCCCAGTCCCACCACCATCTCATCCCCTCCCCCAGCACTTAGCAGCCATTATCGGGGGAGCAGATTGCAGCCCCCTCCCCCTCTCTGGGAAGCAGGCACAGCTGGGCCCCGCCACATGTGCCGCTTCAGCACGGAGCACAGCTGGGTGTGCCCAGAGCCTCGCTCCCCAAAACACAAAGGGGTTGGGCGGAGGCCAAGGAGAGCCCAGACCCCTGAGACAGACACACTGACATCTCTGCCGACAGACACATACTCCTTGAGGCGAAGCTACACCCACCAACACACGCTCCCTTGTGTGCAGAGACGGGAGAACTGGCAAACACACAATTACCCAGCCCCGCCCGCCACCCCCGCTCCCGTCCCCCAACCCCTCCTCTTCCCCTTCCTTCCCCCGGGGCTCCCCTCCGCCACCGCGGCCACCTTGGAGCTGCCCTGGGCTCTAATCTGGAGGGAGCTAGGGGCGGCTCAGAGAGCCGGAGGGCAGGGGATGGTGAGGGGCGTGTGGGTCTGAGGCATGAACCCTGGGAAGCCACCTGCCCTCCTCCAAGCCCACACTCTCCCCACAAAGAAGCCTCCTCCGAAACTTTGGTCCTTGCCGCAGCCTGGGCACGACGGGGTCTCCATGCCCTGACTGTTCCCTGTGGCACTCTTGTGTTCCATTGGCTGCCTCAAGGAGGCGCTCTGTGCCCTTAGTCTCTCAGCCTTCAGCTCAGCGGCTCCCAGGGCTGGCCCCTGCCACTCCTCCCCATAATCTGCCAGTACCCTACCCTCAGCAGGCACCCTTCTCCGCTTAGCACTGTTGCCCCTGACATGCGTAGGGTGTGGGGGCCCCCTCCCCAGAACAGACGATCAGGAGTTCCTTCCTTCATCCTTTCCCAGGTGATGACCACCTCTTGGCCCCTGATTAAATCCTGCCCCCTCTGCAGCCTTCACTTTTCCCATTTATCTCCTTGGCCCTGGTGTCTTGCCCTCAACCCTCTCCTTCCTGCCCCTCCCATCCCACACCGCCCCCCCCCATGCCCCTCAGAGCTTTAATCCCTCCCGCTGCTGTGCAGCCTTATCTGCTCCCAGCAGCTTTCGCTGCTGCAAAGCCCTCTCCCCCTCCTTCTCCGGATCTCCCCCTCCTTCCCAGGCTCTTTCTGCTCTCTGGCCAGCCCCCCTTCCTGGCCAGCCTGTCTCTGCCGCTCAGGCCCCCCTTGTGGTTCCTGGCTGATCCCAGATCTGCACCGCAACGCCCTTTGCCCTCTCCTCTCTCCAGCCTCAGCTGTGAGGTTGGCGGCTGCCTACCCACTCCCACCGTGCCTCTTCCATCCCAACCCTCCCCGCAGGCCGCACAGACTTTGTTCGTTTCTGGCCAGCCAGGAGTTTTCATCTCTCTTCTTCCTGCCCTTCCTTTCCTGTTCCCCACCCCACTCTCCTGGACCTGGTCCCCTTCAGTCCGAGTGACCCATTGCCTCGGCTTGGGAGCATCTGAAAGAGGATGGAGGTGTTGGTGCGAGACACAGGAGAGGGTGCTGGGCCCGGCTCGCCCTAGGAGGATTGGGGGGGCTACAAAGATACTGGCCCACAGTGGGGGCAGGGCCTGGTAGTGGGACGCTAACCCTCTTCAGTCGCCTCAGATCACGTTCGGGCCTCCCCACCCCCTTCGCTGGGACTCTCATTAACCGCTTCTCCTGCCTCGTCCACAGCATAAATAACCCAGATAAATCAGCCGCCGTCCGCCCCCCGCCCCTCGGCCCCCGCACAGCCCGTTTGTCACCGCTGCTCGCTCACCAGCCAGGCCTGGCGCGGTCCCGGTCCGGCCCCCCCATCCTTGTCCCTTCCCACCCATGTCTGTCCCACACTGGCTCATCCCTTGATCTGCACCAGGGCCAGGTGTCTGGACTGGGGAGGGTGACCAGGGGGTGTCCCAGAGAGCAGGGGAGGCTGGGGACTGTCTAGGAGAATGTTGTCCAGGAGTTTGGGGTCGTGTAGTTTATGAATAGGGCCAGGCAGGCAGGGAGTCTGGGGGCCAACTTGGGGGTCCCTGTGCTGAGGAGAGGCTCCCTTGGAGCCCCCCCAAATTGGATCCTGGGAGATTTTCAGGTCTCCCTTCGTGGCATTTTGCCCAAAACATCCATGCCTCCTCCCAGGCCCCTAGGCCTGGGAGTCCTGCTCTCCGGGTCACCCCCTCAGCCTCTGCCCCCCATTCCCGGTGCCCTCCCTAGTCACTCCAATCTCCACATGCCAGTCCATCTACCACTGTCTTTCTTGCAGCGGGAAGCCTAGTTCATTCCCTGGAGGGTGGAGGTGGGTGGAGATTGGACTGGGAACAAATCTGGGGAATGGGGACAGTGGGAGGGTTCAGGAACCCTGGCTGGGGCTTTGTGTTCTGACCCTGCAACACCCCCTCCCTGCACTCCCTTCGCCCACACCCAGCCCAGGTCCTGGCGGACCACACTTGGCCCTGATGCTTCCCTGCAAGGGGCAGCTGGTCCCCAGGGAGTGGGTGGGGGTGGCAGGGAGGGAGGGGGGAGCTTGGGTGCAGGGCTGGGGTGGGGGTGGGGAAGAAGCTGGGCCGGGCCCCAGGGACCAGCTGGGCAATGAGCCGGGGAAGCAGCCGGGAGGCTAAATGAGGGAGATTATCACCCAACTGCAGCCGGGCAGAGAGGGAGGCAGGCAGGGAAGCGGGGAGAGGGAGGGGAGAGGGGACAGGCCAGAGGCGAAGGGGGTACAGAGGGACTGGAAGGGGGCTGGAAGAGACTGGAGAGGAGGGAAAGGTCAAGAGATGAGCGGGACGGATGGGGGGCGCCCACTGAGCATAACCACATTCCTGGAGGTCTGCGAGGCTGGATGATGGGGACTTAGGGACAATTGGAGACAGCTGGCTGTGGGGCAATGGGGTCTGTGTGCAGCTAACTGCTCCACATCCCAGCAGCCTGGGGCTCCCCTCACAACCCCCCACCCCCTGCTCCCCCATACCCAGTTACCACCCAGCTTCATTCCTTATAGAGGTTGAAGGCTTCCTGCCATCCCTTGGGAGGAAAGAGGGTGTGATTTGAGTCATGATGAAGGCCAGTATGTTGGGGGGACAGTGTGACCCCGAGATCTCAATGGATGGCGGGGGAACTCAGGAATATGTACAGAATCCAGGGTAGCAGCAGGTACTGGGGGGAGCTTGGGGGCAGCTCCCCGCTTTCTTGGCAGAGCCCCAGACTGAAATAACCTTAAAAAAGCAATTAAATCACCTTTTTAAAAAAACCCAGTAAAGAAAAATCAATATTGGGAGAAAGGGGAAGAGAGAGAAGGATGGGGCGGAACAGTGGGGAGAGCTCTGGAAAGGTCTAGAAGTCTACCAGGGAGGGAAAAGCATGGGAGGGGGCTGTCTGGGCATGGGACAGGGAGAGGGGGGCTGTCTGTAGTCACTTGGAGACGCTTAGCGCCAATTCAGCAGCTGGTTCCAATGCCAACCCCACTCTCCCCTCTGGGACACTGTGTCCCAGCTAGATGCAGCACCTGACCCCAGGGGTCTTATCTGCCTGGCTGGGGACTCAGCTGACCCAGACTCATCCAGGCCTGGGGGGACGCCCAGGTGTGGCCCCTGAGGAAGCCACTCTGCTGAAAGGCTAGGGACAACGTAGGCAGGGCGCCACGCATGGCCAGGACTGGGTATGGGGCAGGCTCCATGCTGGGGCAACCCTGATAGGACCTGACCTGGCCTTGCAGCCAGGGCGGGCAAAGTGGCTCCCTGCTGGCAAGGGAGCTATCCCTGGGTCTCTCCCCTGGGGCCAGGCCAGCCGCAGGTGGCGGGGTGGCCGCAGGGGGTGGGGTGGCCGTTGGACAGCGGGTGGACCTCGGGCTCTAATCCCCAGCAGCTGCCGTTTCCCTCAGATCGATTCCCTTCTCACTTTTTTTTCAGCTGCTGGTTCCGCGGCTTGGATCGATGGAGCCGCCTCCCTCCGCCCTTCTGAGCTTCCTCTCCCTGCTGCTCATTAGCGCCCCGATTAATCAGGCCCCCTTTCCTCCAGGGGACAAGTGCTTCCTCCCCCGTGAGGGCTCACGCTCTCACATGGCCCCCAGAGCATAAGTGGCTCATCCTTGCCACCCCCACCTTGGGGGCACCAACTGATGCATCCCCCCTGGCCAGCCCAGAGGCTCCCAGCCCTGCTGTGATGACTGCCCACATGCCTGCTTCCCCTCCACAGGAACGCAGCAGCCCCCCTCCCCGGGCTCCCCTGCCCCACTCTGCCAGGTGGCCAGGCACCCCTTGCATCTGCTTCGTGAGGACGGCACTCCCTCCCACTGGAGCCCAGCACACCTCCCCGCTCCCTTCAGCAACACCCCCATGGGGCTCTTCCTCCCCCTGCTCGGCACATCTGCTCCCCGTACATATTGGAGCCCCCCACATCTTACCTGCCCTGTGCTCCCCAGCTTGTTTACCCAGCACCCCTCTCCCCAAGCCTGGTTGTGGCCAGGGATTTGGGGAACATTTGGGGAAGCAAAGTGGACACAGATGTGAAAGTCAGCCAGGGCACTCAGTCCCAGATGCATGAGTGACTGAGGCTGGGGTTGGTGGTACCGTGAGGGGGAGGCAGCCATTCTCCCAGAGGGCCAGGGGCGTGGTGGGTGCTGAAGTTGGGAGCAAAGCTCTAGGGAAGCCAGAGAATCTTGGTGGACTCATGGTTGTCCCCTGGTCTGTCTTGTCTCCCTCCTCTCCCCTCCCCTCCCTCATTCAAACAAGTGGCTCTCTCAAGGAGTTTCTGGAAGCTGCTGTGAATGGGGTAGTGGGACCAGGTGGTGGCTGGGTGCTGGAGTCAGGGAGGCCAGGAGGTAGTGGACAGAGCTGGCTGACCCCTCCTGGGGCGTGGTCCAGAAAAGTGGCAAAGAGTGAGCTGAGGACTGGGTGTAGCACTCTCCCTGGGTGGCCAGGGAGTGGGGATATCTGGCACCCAGTGTGCATGAGGACCAGCTAGGGTGGCTAGGGTGTAGCAAGAGTTTAGGGGGCAGCCCCGTCCTGGGATCCCTGTCCCGGGCTGGGGGCTGCCCCCTCCCCTGGCCTGGCTCCTGCCGCCCATGCTGCTGGTGAAACGCTGTTGACATGTCCTGAATTATTAAGCACGGGGTGGGCTCCGGAGCACATGCTGAGCGGAGCGGCTGGGGCTGCGCGGCGTGGCGGAGCAGCGCTCGCTCCCTCGCTCACTCGCTCGCTCGCAGGGACACACGCAGGGGCTGACAGCTGTGCTGGTGCTGATAAGGGAAGCCACAAGGAGACGATCGAGGAGAGAGACAAGCGGCAGCAGAGGCAGCAGCGGCAGAGGCAGCACCAGGGCTGCGGAGCTGCTGGGAGTGGGAGTGACTCCCCCACCTCAGGCCCCCACCCTGTCCCCGTCCTCCTCCCGCTTGCCCTGAGTTTAGAAGAGCAGCCGCTGCCACCACCGCCACTCCGGAGGGCACCGGGGCTGCTGGCTAGGGAGAGACAGGGGCAGGGAGGCTCTGGCCAGTCCCAGCAGCCGGGGACAGATGCCGATCGAGATTGTGTGCAAAATCAAATTTGCTGAGGAGGATGCGAAACCCAAGGAGAAGGAGGCAGGGGATGAGCAGAGCCTCCTGGGGGCTGCTCGGGGGGCAGCAGCCCCCCGGGACCTGGCCACCTTTGCCAGCACGAGCACTCTGCATGGGCTGGGCCGGGCCTGTGGCCCAGGCCCCCACGGACTGCGCAGGACCCTGTGGGCACTGGCCCTACTCACCTCGCTGGCTGCCTTCCTCTACCAGGCGGCCGGCCTGGCCCGGGGCTACCTGACCCGGCCTCACCTGGTGGCAATGGACCCCGCTGCCCCAGCCCCAGTGGCAGGCTTCCCAGCTGTCACCCTCTGCAACATCAACCGTTTCCGACATTCGGCACTCAGCGATGCTGACATCTTCCACCTGGCCAATCTGACAGGGCTGCCCCCCAAAGACAGGGATGGGCACCGTGCCGCCGGCCTTCGCTACCCGGAGCCCGACATGGTAGACATCCTCAACCGCACTGGCCACCAGCTCGCCGACATGCTCAAGAGCTGCAACTTCAGTGGGCATCACTGCTCCGCCAGCAACTTCTCCGTGGTAAGTTCTGCCAGCTGGGCCGCCTGGCCTGGGGTAGCCAGAGGCCAGAGGGCGGGAAGGAGTGGTGGCAGTGGTGTGCAGGGGCATCCTCAACAGGGCTTCCCTTCCTTCCGCCACCAGAGGCTGGCCTCGTGTCTCCCCTGAGCCTGGCGTTTCCCTCTGGCTTCCCAGCCATGGAGCAGTGGACGCACAGGGGCTTACCCCAGGGCTGCTGCTCCTCTTCCTGGTTTAGTTGCGGCTGCAGTGTCCAGCTCTGGGGGCTGGGGCGGGGTGCCCTGGGGGTGGGCCCAGGTGTCCTGGAGCTGGTCAGCATGCAGGGGAGGGACACACCATCCTGAGGCCGGATCAACTGACTCCCACTTTTCTCTTGTTCCCCTTTTCTTCTGAGGCTACTGGATTCTTCTCCCCATCAAATGAAGGTGATGGGGAGCGGGTGTTTGGGGGGCTCCGGCTAGGGAAGGGCTCAGGGCTGCCTCCTGGGAGCTGGCCCGGCAGGCAGGCTGGAGAGAGCCGGTCCTCATGCACACTGGGTGCCAGTGTCTCTTCTCTGGCCCTGTGTGTCTCTCACGCACCCCCTTCACAGACTCCCTCACACATCCCTCTTTCATTCTGCCCCTCCGGCTCTCCCGCAGGCCAGGCCCCCTCCGCTCCCCTGCCCAGCCCTGGCTCTGGCACGGGGAATCGCTGGTGCACTCTCATGTGCATAACTCACCCTCGCTGCTGCCCTGGCACGCGCGCGCACACACACACATCTACTGCTCGGGGACACAGGTTCCCGCACACTCCCTCTCGCACACACACTCAGTGCCCCTGTCACCACATTCACGTGCACACCTGCACACCCACACACCCAGAGAGCTACTCAGCTCCTCGCCCATATCCCAGCTCTTGCTTAGCTGCCAAGGACAGGGTCACGCTGTGGCTGCCATCCCCTCTGGTGACACCCCTGCCCCCATCTATCTCAGTTGCTGCTCCCCATGTGGGGACTGCTGGCGCCATCTCTCACCTACGTGTGAATGCAAACACCCTTAGCACACCTCCCACGGTCAGGTGTGCGAGGGGGGTGGGTGTGTCTCGTATGCTGTCTGTCTGTCTGTCAGTGCTCCATTCACCCACAGTCACAGGGTATCTGGTATTCATGGTGCTTGAGACACCTGCCCCCCATCCACGGTCTGCTCCCAGCATTGTGTTTGCGTGTGTGTGTGTGTGTGTGTGTGTGTGTGTGTGTGTTTCCATCCTTGTTACCACTGCCCAGTGCATATGCAAATGCACGGTGTCTACACGGTGCCCGCTCCGGCCCAGCCTCCAGCAGCCAGCCCCAGTGACGGGGAACCCCGCCAGGTTCTCACTCACGTGCCGCCTCAGTGTCACCAGGGAACATGCTCCAGCTAGGCTCCTGGCCCCCATCATGCCTGCAGTGTCTGGGGCTTCCTGCCACTGGGTGGAGGAGTTAGGTAGAAATACAGGGACAGGGAGGAGAGGATTGTCCAGGGACAAGAGTCAGGGGCATTGGTCTATTGTCCAGATGTACACCCCTTCTCCTAGGAAAAAAATCACTGCTCCCCAAAGCCAGGGCCGGGACAGTCCTGAGGAGGAGGTGGGGTGCGGGGTGTGAGTGTGGCCTTTGGGATCCATGGGGCTCCTCTGTCCTACTTGCGTTGGGGGCTGGGCAGAGCCCAGTCTCAGCAGGTGCTGTTGGGGCAGAAATCAATGGGGCCTTTGTGTCCCTGAGTGGGAGTTTGTGTCTCAGGCCCTGGTTGAGGGTGGGCAGAAAAGGGGAAGGGTGATACAACCTGAGTGACAGGGAAGGGGAGGAAGGGTTGGAGGGGTGAGGAAGTACAGGGGGAGGCAAAGCATCCCCTGGCCTCCAGGAGAGCAGGAGGGACCTGGGATACAAGAACAGGGAGTCCCTTGGAATCCTGGGGATGGCTGGGAGGAGTGAGGGTGGATTTCCCACAGCGCCTTGGGTACGGTACCCTGGGGCTGGAGAGAGGAGGAGTGTAGCTCAGCGAGGGCCAGACAGTGAGGGGAGGAGGGCAAAGCCAGCACCAGAGGCAGGAATTCCCCTGCCGAGTTCCTGCTCTCTGTGTCCCCAGCCCAGTCTGGTACCTCTGCCCACACCTTCCCTGTCTGCTGAGTGCAATACTCCCTTGGACCTGGCATTCTCAGGCTGAGTCTGCAGCAAATTCACCAGGGTCTGGAATTATGGGTTGGGATGGGGGCCCATGATCCATGGCAATGGGGAAAGTGGGGTGTATCGTGGGGCAAGGCTGGAGAAGGGGCATGCGGATGAATACGTGGGGTCTCTCATGAGGACTCGAGGTCCATAATCGACTGTGGTGAGGCCATGCAGTCCATGATGGGGTCTACGGTGGGGAGATGGGTGCGGGAACCAGTTGGTGGGAGCCCGCCAGGGTGGTGAGATGGTCAGAGATAGGCCAGGCTTCGGTAAGGGGCTGGTTTGTGTTTTCTGTTGCTTTCCCTGTTTCCTCCCTCCCACTCCCCACTCTGCTGTGACCTTTCCTCCGGAATCCAAGTTAATAAATGTCACATTTTCCAGCCTATTTTTACTCCGGGTAATGCACCCTCCCCCAGTCCCCTCTGCTGCTGCTCTTGCTTCTGTTACCACTGCAATCGCTGTGCCCCCACGCTCCATAATATCCCCTCATCTACTCCCAGTCAGCTGATCAATCAACACGGGGTTCTGTGTGCCTACTGTGTGTTGGGCTCCCTGCTCGGAGCTGTGGGGGACAGCAAAGAAGGGAAGCCCTGTCCCCAGTCCCTGTCCTCAAGCAGCCTATAGTCTTGTGGTGGAGTGGGCACAGGGACACTCAAAAGCTTAAGCGACCATGCAAGAGTTAATCAGCCATGCAAGCAGTGTCATCAGGTGTCAGGATCAATTGCCAGACAAGGTGCACGGATAGGAAAAGCCGGAGTTCAGAGAGAGAGGCCACTCTGGGCTGAGGAGTGCCGGAAAGGCCTAAGGGATGAGGCAGTCTGGAGAGGAGGGGACGGAAGAGGGGAGAAAAAGGGGAGAGGGCCCTGGGTGGTGGGGGATGTGTCTCCCTCTCCACCCCTGCTAGCTCCAGCTAGCTCACCTCAGCCCTTCTCTTTCCCTCTCCCCCCCTCACCCAGTCTCATACCCAGCCACTCCCACCTATGCCTCCTACTTTTAGCACCACCGCTATGACCCCCACCCCAGCCTTATAGCTGGCTCGCCCTTCCTCCCTGTTTCCTGCCACCGTCTACCCCCTCACCCAAGTGCTCCAAGCCCAGCCGCACTTTCCCCACTGTGCTTGCGCTCAGCCTGCCCTCTTACTAGGAGGTAGAAAGCACTTTCTCCCTAGGCTTCCTTTCTTGAGCTGTAAAATGCAAGGGTGGCTCCAACATTCAGCATCTCTCAGCTGGGGCCTGCACACTGGAGTGGCCCACTGTGTGGGTTCTAGAGCCGCCTGACCACCTAGATTTGAACCTCCATTCTACCCGTTAAGCTATGTGGCCTTGGGGAAGCCAAAAAACCTTTGTGAGCATGTCTGTGTATTCGTTAAATAGGACATTGGAAACTAAAAATTTGGGGTTGTTGTGAAGAATCAAAAGATGCTTGTAAAGAGCTTAGCACACTGCTTGGCACGCACATGGTACGCACTCTGTAAGTGTCAGCTGTTAGAAATGCCAGCACCCTGGCTGGGTGCAGTGGCTCACGCTTGTAATCCTAGCACTCTGGGAGGCCAAGGCGGGAGGATTGCTTGAGGTCAGGAGTTCGAGACCAGCCTGAGCAAGAGCGAGACCCCCCTCTCTACTAAAAATAGAAATAATTAGCTAGAAACTACTAAAAAATAGAAAAAATTAGCCGGGCATAGTGGTGCACACCTGTAGTCCCAGCTACTTGGGAGGCTGAGGCAAGAGGATTGCTTGAATCCAGGAGTTTGAGGTTGCTGTGAGCCAGGCTGACGCCATAGCACTCCAGCCCAGGCAACAGAGTGAGACTCTGTCTCAAAAAAAAAAAACCTACTAGTTTCTGACCCATGCACTGGCGTCACTGCTGTCCATCACCCAGTCTTCCCCGGCTTTTGACCCTCCGGCCCACACCCTCCTCTGCCCTGTTCTAGCATCCCCATTCTATTCAGCCCGCCAAATATGCACGCACGTGTGCACAGGTGCAGCAGTGTGCACACACGGTCCAGATCAGTGCTGGCCAAGAGAACGCTCTGTGATGACAGCAGTGAAGTGTTCTGTGTCTGTGCTGTCCAACATGGTAGTCACTAGCCACATGTGTCTAGTGAGCACTTGAAATGTGATTAGTGTGACAGAAAATGAATTTTAATTCAAATAGCCACACGTGGCTAGAGGCTGCCGTCTTGGACAGAACAGCTCTCCATAGCCCTAGGAATGAGGTTTAGACTGCCTGGGTAGGGCCAGGCTGGGAATTATAACTGGCACCAAAGGATATAAGGTAATGGGTACAGGCTGTGATTAGAAGTCAGGCTGTCTACTCTTGGGGCTGAGGTCCCAGGTTGAGCTGAGGCTAGGGCCTGAGTCTGGGGGCTGGGATCACTGGGGTGTCTGGAAACACCATCTGAGCTATGGTACCTTTCTTCCCAGGTGCAGGACATGACCTTGGTCCTTTATATTCTACTATCTGTAAACTGAGGCATGGGGGAGGTGGAGAAGCCCTGAAGAGGCTGGGGTAGGACCCAGCCCTCTCCATGGGGTCCTTAAGGGTCCAGGCAGCCCCTGGAGGGCCAGGAGAAGAGGGCCCTGTGAGCGCTTCACATCCCCTCTGGGCTCTCAGGCTTCCCTCCCCCTCCCGACCCTTCTTCCCCACACGCTGGTGACTGCCGTGACTATTAATCACTCGCCCTGTTCTCTTCCTCTCTACTAATCAGGCACAATTAGACAAGGCCTCTTCCAGCTGGGCAGTCCCCCTCCCTGCCCTCCTCCCTCCTCTGCCAGCTCCACCCAGCCGCCAGCCAGGACAGCTCCCAGGCAAGGGGAACAGC